CTCTATCTTGCATTCCTTGAGCTGTTCAGGAGAAGTTTTTGTGGCATGAGAGGGCTGTTGTTCTTCTAGGTGAGGGTGATGAAATTGGTGACTGACTTTGCCATGAGAGGTTTGCTTGGGCTACAAAAGCGTTTAGTTGGCTGATATGTATCGCTGTAATATTTACACAAATGCCAGGGCCTGGTTTCAGCGTTAGTGGTTTTAATGTTACAGTTGATGAGCGTAAAAGAGGACACCACTTGTGTGGCAGGATCTTATACCGTTTCCTTTCATCATTTCTCACCTGTCAGGAAATTGCTCAATAAGCTAAAGCTTCTTCTAATGCATGTACCGAACTACAATGTCACGTCAGATGAAAACAAGCTAAAACTGTCAATTGTTTGTCATTCATGTTTTGAGGGTGTCAGACTAATTTCAGCCTTTTAAATCTCATATCACAGGATTGCTAAGACTTCTTGCTGTAATTTTGTTAAGAGTACTGAATTTGCTGTTAGTCTAGATGAGCCCTCTCACAACAAAAGAAGATGATCTGTGAAAACAGAGAAGTGTCTCAGAATACGTCACGGGGCGATCGTGGCTCAAGAGTTGGGAGTTCGTCTTGTAATCGGAAGGTTGCCGGTTTGAGCCCCGGTTCCGACAGTCTCGGTCGTTGTATCCTTGGGCAAGACACTTCACCTGTTGCCTACTGGTGGTCACAGGGCCCGTTGGAACCAGTGTCCGGCAGCCTCGCCTCTGTCAGTGCGCCCCAGGGCAGCTGTGGCTACAATGCTGCACACATTCACATTATGTGTGAGTGACTGAATGTAGTGTAAAGGTCTTTGGGGTCCTTAGGGACTAAGTAAAGCGCTATACAAATGCAGGCCATTTACGTTTGTCTTTGTCTGACCAAAATCAATTTAGAAAATATTCAGATCAGTTTTAAAAGTTTGAATACCACACTGTAACAAAAAGAGGGGCTCTCTGATTCCCAGGACCCAAATATACATATTTGTTTTTACATTTTTTGATGCATTTAATTTATGAAACAGTTAAACAAAATGAGTGAGGACAAAAGAGAGATAAAAACCAAGAGGCCAAGTGGAGTAAACAGCATCAGAAATCATATATTGAATTACAATTTTCAGTATAATTACAATCTTAACTGAAATGAAACACTTTACTGCAGTTCAGCTC